ATTAATATTAGGCCATCTTACGCTTTCTTAACTAGGTTTAAGGCTTTTGAAGCAGATTTCTTCTTCTGTGCCTGCGTTGCAGCAAACGGGCCTCCCCTGGCCCTATTAATAAGATGTTAATACCGTTAATACCCCCTTCAAGCAAACCAAGATGTTTTTATTCAAGAATAGTTTTGTTTGCCCTGCCCTGCTATTTCTTTAAGGAGATCGTACGTATGTCGGTTTGTATTTAGGTTTGATGTTTCTAAAGCAAGGCTTTTCAACCAGTGGTATGGGTACCACCTGTGGTACATTGGCACCTGGCAGGTGGTACGCGACCATCCTAGAAAAGTGGTAGTGGGGGAAGGGAATGAGCTGAACCGGTGGCAGCACCGCACAAGCCTGAGCGAGAGACGGCTGGAGCTGCAGGGCTGTCAGGGCTCAGCGGAAGTGCCAGGATCAGTGCCAGGTTCCAGCTGGAGCTCAGCGCTGATCCTGGCGCTTCTGCTGAGCCCAGAAGAAGCGCCGATCAGCTGGAATGTTGCAGCATCTCCAGGGTCTTGTGATTTACATTCAGATGCGTGGCAACAGATTCATATTTATGACGGTCACAGTGTCCCAGGGTCATGTGAAGTGACCAAAACCTGCTGCAACCACCCAGCAGACGGGGGGGGGGGGAATAAAAACCAAACACCCCCCTCCCCACCCCCGCTGCCAATCCTCAACAGAAATGCTCACAACAATTAAAACTTTGGAAAGGAGGAAGAGCGCCGCCAGGTGGGCAGGCAGGTGTCTTGCTTGGTTGTGGCTTTTTTCAGTGCCATTGTAACTTCGAACAGTCACTAAGTGAACTGTTGTAAGTCAAGGACTACCTGTACTTCATTACTTTTTTCCTTTTTTTTGGTCATGTTTTTGACACCACCTTCTGACTGGTGGTACTCGGATATTGCCATATCCTAAAAGTGGTACAATGGGTGAAAAGGTTGAAAAGCCCTGGTCTAGCATACTGGGAGCTGGGTTAGCTGCTTGTTGGGAAATTGAAAAGTAAGATATATACCCAGGGATAACAGGTAACGAAGGGGGGACACGGTGGTGTAGAGGTTAACATGCAGGCAGCCCAGGTTCGAATCTCTAGAGGCGTAGGGGGGGTGGGGTTGGGGGTCAAAGGTCAAGTGGTAGTGAAGAGTTGGGGGTCAAGCGGTAGGGTCAAAGGTCAGGTGGCAGGGGGTCACAGGTCAAGTGGCAGGGGTCACAGGCAGTGGGGTCAAAGGTCAAGTGGTGAGGTCAAAGGTCAATGGGGAAGGTCAAGTGGTGAGGTCGAGTGTGTGTGTGTGTTTGAGTGTGAGTGCGAGTGCGAGTTTGAGTGTGCGTTTGAGTGGTTAGGGTTAGAGTTAAGGCGATTGTTAGGGCACTCGGTCTCTAAAAGGTTCGCCATCACTGGGTTAGGGTTAGGGCGAGTGTTAGGGTGGGTGTAATAGTGAGTGTGAGTGCGAGTTTGAGTGCGAGTTTGAGTATGAGTTTGAGTGCGAGTTTGAGTGCAAGTGTGTGAGAGTTTGAGTGTGAGTATGAGTGTGAGTATGAGTGCGAGTGTATGAGTGTGAGTGCGAGTGCGAGTGTGAGTATGAGTGTGAGTATGAGTGTGAGTATGAGTGCGAGTTTGAGTTTGAGTATGAGTGCGAGTGCGAGTTTGAGTGTGAGTGTGAGTGTGAGTGGTTAGGGTTAGAGTTAAGGCGATTGTTAGGGCACTCGGTCTCTAAAAGGTTCGCCATCACTGGGTTAGGGTTAGGGCGAGTGTTAGGGTGGGTGTAATAGTGAGTGTGAGTGCGAGTTTGAGTGCGAGTTTGAGTGTGAGTGTGAGTGTGAGTTTGAGTATGAGTATGAGTGCGAGTTTGAGTGTGAGTGTGAGTTTGAGTGTGAGTGCGAGTTTGAGTGCGAGTTTGAGTATGAGTTTGAGTGTGAGTGCGAGTTTGAGTGCGAGAGTATGAGTGCGAGTTTGAGTTTGAGTGTGAGTGCGAGTATGAGTGTGAGTGTGAGTGTGAGTTTGAGTGTGAGTGTGAGTTTGAGTGCGAGTTTGAGTTTGAGTGTGAGTGTGTGTGTGAGTGTGAGTTTGAGTGGTTAGGGTTAGAGTTAAGGCGATTGTTAGGGCACTCGGTCTCTAAAAGGTTCGCCATCACTGGGTTAGGGTTAGGGCGAGTGTGTGTGTGAGTGTGTATGTGAGTGTGAGTTTGAGTGTGAGTGCGAGTTTGAGTGCGAGTATGAGGGTGAGTATGAGCGTGAGTGTGAGAGTTTGAGTGTGAGTGTGAGTTTGAGTGGTTAGGGTTAGAATTAAGGCGATTGTTAGGGCACTCGGTCTCTAAAAGGTTCGCCATCACTGGGTTAGGGTTAGGGCGAGTGTTAGGGTGGGTGTAATAGTGAGTGTGAGTGCGAGTTTGAGTGCGAGTTTGAGTGCGAGTTTGAGTATGAGTTTGAGTGCGAGTGCGAGTGTGAGTATGAGTGTGAGTATGAGTGTGAGTATGAGTATGAGTGTGAGTGTGAGTATGAGTATGAGTGTGAGTGTGAGTGTGAGTATGAGTGCGAGTTTGAGTGTGAGTGTGAGTTTGAGTGTGAGTGCGAGTTTGAGTGCGAGTTTGAGTATGAGTTTGAGTTTGAGTGTGAGTTTGAGTGTGAGTTTGAGTGCGAGTATGAGTATGAGTGCGAGTTTGAGTATGAGTGTGAGTGCGAGTATGAGTGTGAGTATGAGTGTGAGTTTGAGTGTGAGTTTGAGTGCAAGTTTGAGTTTGAGTGTGAGTGTGTGTGTGAGTGTGAGTTTGAGTGGTTAGGGTTAGAGTTAAGGCGATTGTAGGGTTAGAGTTAAGGCGATTGTAGAGTTAAGGTGATTGTAAGGTTCGCCATCACTGGGTTAGGGTTAGGGCGAGTGTTAGGGTGAGTGTAATAGTGAGTGTGAGTGCGAGTTTGAGTGCGAGTTTGGATAGGACCCCAAATTTTCCCTGTGCTCGGAAAAACAGTGCTGACTCGATAGGACCCAAAAGGCTATCGGAACTACCCTGGGTTTCATCTGCCTCCCGCTTGCTGCAAAGCTACCCGCTTACCTGTCTCGTCCCCTCCTTTCCGTTTTGGATTCTGCTGCTAAGATGGCCCTGGAAGTCCTTTCTGACTAACACCACCAACCACCATCCCGGCCAGAAAGTAAAGCATTAGGCCCGTAGGAAAGGGCCTTGTCCGCACAGCTAACCGGACTGTGCGACGGAACCCTGGAAGAACAGGGTAATCTTGCATCTCTTTGACCGAGCTTCGACCTGAAACTTATCCTGATGCTTAATTTGAACTGATTTCAATGGCATAAGGTTGCTCCCGTTTCCACTTGATGATTTAAAAAACAAAAGTACCGCTGTTGCAAGCAGGCGCCGTTACAGTTACGCTTTTGTGTTTTTTATTTTAAAAGGGTGGACAGCAATTAACCCTAACCATTTTCAAAATCTGGTTTACGGTTATGTTTATTCCTAGAGTTTAGTACGCTAAGGTTTAAGATATAATCTATGTTTAAAGTTATTTCTAATTTTACATTGGGTACGTTTGTTTCTAAGTTATTTTATATCTAGGCAGCTTTTGTTTCTTCTACCATCAAAGTGCTTCATAAAACGCTAATGCTGTAATCTATAAGCAACATTAATGCAATTGAAATCACTCTTAAAATTACACAAGAGGATTGCTCAGAGATCCAAAGCTTGGCGTTCTTAACTTGTCCCTAAATACCCGGAAAGCGGGGCCCGTGAGCATCACCCGAAGATTCTGCCGCACGGCCTGGCAGGCGTGCCAGAAAAGGCCCTTTCCGGTAGACTGCCAAGCTCTGCTAGTGGGAAGGCCCTTGGAGAGGTCCCTCCTGCTATTTCCCACCAAAACTGCAATATTTAGAGGAGCGGTGGCGATCGCAACCTCCCACTGTGTTTCCTGCTGCCTCTTGCGGTTTTTACTGGGCTCCCAACCTCACTCCATTTCCATCCCCGTCTCTTTAAAAGGAAAAGCCTTAGCCTCACTGAAACTGGCAAAAAAGAAAAAAAAAAGTCCTCAAGGACAACTTATCTGTTTTCCCCCAGTTCCTTCTTAACAGCCAGAGCAGGGGGGGGGGGGTCACCCATCCTGCGGAGGCTCTAGGCTGGAAATCCAGGGAGCGTGACCTCCTTTCTCCACTGCCTTTTCCAAAAAGGCTGAAGCTTTCCTCCTGGCCCATGTGGCCGCTGCATCAGTTGATGCCGCTGTGACTGGGGGAAGTTAGCAAAATTGCAAGCCGGACTCTGCAAAGACCTGGGTCTCCTGCTGCCCCCAGAGAGACCTGCTTTTCCTTTCTCTTACCTCTGGGCGGTGGGTGGGCTGTTTATGGCAACCTGGAGGGGAAAGGAAGGAACCTCCTGCCCTTCCTAACCCTGACTTGCTTTGGAGGTCTACAAAGTTAGATGGACGGCGAACAAATTAATAAATTCCATTAGTTGTAACTTCTCACGTCTCATCCATTTTATCCATCCTTTAAATGATAAACCTATAAGGGATCGATATATTATATACATTTTCAAAATAAACTATATTTATTTTTTTATTTATCGTTTCTTATTATTATATTTCTTATTATTAATGTATACTATTTCAAATAGATATTGATATTCCACCTATGTTAATACACAGGTATCTCTAAGAAATATAGTTTAGAAACATCAAACTTAAATACAAACCTACAAAGGAATAGCAGGGCAGGACAAACAAAACTATTCTTGAATAAAAACATCTTGGTTTGCTTGAAGGGGGTGAGCGGGGTGCACTTCGGGCGCTGGGAAACACCATTAAACGGCTGCCTTGCTTGGCAGCCTTCGAGGAGACCCCCGAGACGGGACGGAACCCCCTTCCCGACCCGGACGCCAAAAGCCTTGAGCGTGCCCCGCCGGCCCCGGATCTAAAAAGGAGCTAAAAAGAAGCCGGGGCTGAGCATGCGTAAACGACCCCGAAGTGTATTATTGAAACTAACTTCATCTCTATGTTCCCAATTTAGCTTCTCGTTTTTCTAAAGCTGAAAGGGAAACAGTGCAAAGAGACCCGGTCTCACAACCGCTGGTGGCGTCGTCGCCACAGGTTCTCGGTCGTTTCCTTCACAGACAGACGCGGCGAATGGCCAGGAACAACCAGGCGGTCATCTTAGGGGAGAGGACCAAATGAGTGGCCAGGGTGGAGGCGGAGGAGGGGGAAGGTGGGGATCCCCCGCTAACTAGGCACTAGAAAAACGCGGTATCTTTCTGGAAATGCGGGGAGGACTCGGCTCACCTGTGGCAGTACGAGGCTTTTTTTTTTCCTTCTTGCGGTCTTGCCGGTAGACGTGCGCTATGGCAGCGTAGAGTAGAAAAGAGGACGGGAAAAAGCAGGGCACCGTGCTGCGAATGGACAGGAAGATGGGGACGGCCTCGACGGATGGACAGGATGTCGGCCATACTGGGAAGGTCGGCGTCAAAGGGATTGGGGGACGATCGCAGCGGACGGACAGGAAGTCCTCCATGGCTAGAAGATCGCTGCGAAAGGAAGTTGGTAGGGATGACTAAAAAGAACGGACAGGAAGTCAGCCATAATAGGAAGGTCGATTCCAAATGCATTGGGGGATGGCCAATTTGAACGGACAGGAAGTCTGCCATGCCGAGAAATTCTCTCGGAGATTACTCGTGGGGAACGAGCCAGAGGACATGCGCAGAAGGCCGACGGAAGCGGCTCGTCCCTTTCGGAGGAGCGTAGAGTGGCCACGCTTTGGCTGACGCTCTGCACCTTGGGGCTTCGATTCTCGGTGTCCCGATCCTAGGCAAAAGGCCTATGACGGACCCAATGTTAATGCTATGGGACAGGAAATCGCGCCCTCCTGTGGTCAAAGCGGGTATTGCGGCCGCCGAAAGAAATAATCCTTTTTAAGGGCATTTTAAGGTTATTATTCTCTATTATTAACGCCTTACTAATATTAATAGAGCGACGGGTGGCCCTTTTGCTGCGACGCAGGCGCAGAATAAGACAAAATAATATCAATAAGGTTTTATTAATAAGGAATAGTAAACTGAAAACGCCAACAACAAAACAGTTTATTACAGCAACGGAGAGCATTGCCGGAAGGATCAGCTCCTCGTCTCTACATTCCTGTGGAATGAAGTTCTCCTCCCCCCCCCCCCAATCTTTATTTCCACTCCTCCCACGTATACACTGGTGTTTCCCAGGGTCTTGAAGACTTAAGTCTTTGACTAAAGGCAAGGGGAGTGGATGGTGGATTGTGTGGCTTCCTTTTTGTTCTTGTGTTTTTGTTTTGTCACCTTTGCCATTTTCTAAAATCTTAATTTGTGTCCATTGTTGTATTTTTTTTCTTGCTTTTAATGTTTTTGTGAACTGCCCAGAGTTCTATTTATTTATTTTATATGCCGCACAGCTCGTCAATAAGGCAATTCTGAGCAGTTTACAAACAATAATGTTTGTAACTGTTGGGAGTCCGGCAGCATATAAATTTAAATAAACTTTTAATAACTTTAAACAAATGTTATGCTCTGCTTAAAGTCCTGAAGCTTGCACAAACGGAAGAGCCCAAATAAGTGAGAAAGAGGTGTTATCAATACAGAAAACAATAAATTAAATATTTTATTCAATAATTTAAGGGGAAAAAAGAATCCAGAAAATACCAGCAGCACAGGATTGAGAGTTTGGGCTTAATATCAGTATCACCGCCCCCCAAAAAAGTTTTTCTGGGAAAGTGTCTGTGAGTATGGGTGTGTGTGTGTGTGTGTGTGTGATTATGAGTGACACAGAGGCAGGAGTCTCTTCTAATGATCAAGATGGTCCTGTGGAAGGTATTGGTATCCCCCTCCCCAACGAAGTGAAAAAAAACCCATCCTAATTTCAAAGCTTACCGTTCCCCCAAAGCGCCACGAGGGAAACATTTTGCTTTTCCAACGACAAAAGGTGAAGCAGCTTGTGAGGGTCCCTTCTCTTCCCCTCCACTCTCTCACGCGAAGAAGTCAGACTTATGAGCCCCCGTTTTGCTTTTCACCCCTACAAAATGCGTCCCCCATCTGGCCTCCAGCTTTCGATTTCCTGGGGCGTCTGGAGAGGGGTGCTCCCCCCTCCCCCCCAGAGGAGGTCTGGTGCCTGGGGACAAGCCCCTCCTCACCGGCCCCTGGGGAAGACCAAGTGCAGGGAGAGGGCCAGGGAGAGGGCTGTGGGTGGGAGAGGCCCGGCCCCGCTGCTCAGCCTTCCCCCGCTTTGGTTCTGCCCGGAGGAGGAGCCCTTCCCAGGTCGCTCCCTTCCAGGAGGGTCTCGGGAGTCCGGGGAAGGCAGTGAGCTCCCAGAGGCCCCTCCGGCAAGCCCGCCTCCTGACCTTGGGGAGGCCGGCCGGTCTTCATGATATCCAGCACCTGAACCACTGACGCCATCCTCATCTGGAACAGAAAGCAGGAGGAGAAAGGTTGATTACGGGGACCAGGCAGCTGTTTTTCCACAGCTTTCTCACACTGTCCGTCTGTCCCCTGAGGCAATTAGTGTATGGCAGCCTCAGGAGCCCCCTCCCTCGCGGACTCCAGGAGGCTTCCTGCCCATCGCTCTCCGGGGTTCCTGGGCAGAAAGGGAACCCTGCAACTAAACCCCTGCAATGCATCCCCTGTGAGAAACGCAGCGGGGCCGGAAAACCAGCCATTTCGGTGGCTTCTGACTCGCAGCAGTGGGCTTCCAGGCCCAGTCTGAGGTGCTGGTCTTTCCCCAAAAAGCCCTCCCTGGCATGGCTTCCACAAAGGGAATTTTACCGCCAGGGCGCTCGTCCTCAGAGAGGACGCTTCCTATCGCTGCTCCCTGCGTGTGTTGGCAGGATCCCAGCAGAAAGCCTTCCCGGGACCTTCCCGTGATCTCATTAGGCTCCCGTCTTGCTGTTGCGTGCAAGGGGGCTAAGCCACTGGATTCAGAGGGCCATTGGCTGAGGGACTCTCTGCGTGGGGGCCACCCCTGAGAGGGTGCGACATTTTCATTACTTCAGTTCTGTATCGTGGCGACGGTAGTGCTCAGATTGCTTTGTTTTTATGCCTACCAGCTGCTGAGAGTTCTTCTGAGAGGCTGGCAAAAAGTAAAAGCTGCAATAGAATGATACGTGACTGCTGATTGGCAGGATGGCGCCAGTGAAGAAGAAGCTGCAACCTCACCGGCATCCTGGAAGTCGAGGTCTTGCCCATGGCATGCCCCCACCAAGCGCGAGGTCACACTGCGCAGAGCCAGGACACATCTCCGGGTTAGAAGTTCGGGTTCTGAAATGTCAACCTCCACTTCTGGGTTGTTGATTTGATTCACCAATCCATCAGCTGTCACGTCTGGGAAGTACCTGGATGGTCGATTGCAAGGACGCAGCGGTCAAAGGGGGATCATGGAAGACCAGCCTTTCAGCAGAGCAAAGCCTCTCCCTTGCCCAAAAGGACTGGACAACTGGTCCCACATTTGCATCACACTTTTGTTTCTGAATCTCTCTTCCTCTCTCGTGCGCACACGCATGCTCGTACACACGCAGGCAAGGCAGCCTGACTTTTAGGAAAAGAACCGCCACACAGAAAGGTGGTTTCCTTTCCTGTCCTGCTCTACCCTCAGCTTGAATCCAGGCACACACAACCCCTCAACGCACAAAGCCTACTTCTGGCCAAGTCAAGTCTCTCTGGGACCCCCACCTGCCCCGTGTCTGACCATTCCAGCAACTGTCCTCGTTTGCCATGCCAGCTGCTGCCTTCTCACTGCTGCAGAGAGTGTGGGGCAGCAGGGTCCAGAAGCGCCTCATGAGACGAACCTTTTCCTTCAAATCCAACACCTGTGAGGGGAAATAGGGCAGTGGCCTGGTGAGAAAGCTTTCCCCAAAAGGCTGCCCCTCGGATCGGCCAAGGACACCTTCCCTTCCAACAGGGTAATTCATCCACCTTGCCCTTCCACTGATGCTGTGTGAAGCGTGATGAGTAGACAGAGGAATGGGGGTGACACTTCTTGTCTTCTCCACACTGCTGTGCCAGGCAGATCTCCCAGCCAGGCCCTAAGACTACCAAAGGCTGGGCTTCGGGGCAGAAATGGTGTCCAAGCAGCAGAACCTCCCCTCTTGGCCTTGGCCTGGCCACTGCTTTGTTTCCTTCGGCTCCGCTTCCTTAGCTGAGTCAGAGCGTTCAGACGTAGCCAGGGATCTGCCAGGGACAGTCAGGCCAAGAGGACAGAAGGAATACTAGGTATCTCCATTTCTCCATCTCCTTCCTGACCTTTGTTTAAAAATTGGGGGTTTGAGGAAAGAGTTCCCCAGCAGCTGGGAAGCAACAAAGTCACTAAAGCATTCAGATCAGAATTAGCCCCTTTTTTCCCCAGTGCTGGGAGGGGGCATTCCCAGGAGTCTGGTGAACCTTTTCAATAGCCAAGGCTTCCACTCCAAGCGGGAGCTTTCCCTGGAGCAGCTGGTACTCCAGATGGCCAGGATGGAGCTCCACAGAAGAAGGAAGCCCTTCTGGTGAGGACTAACCAGACGAAAGAGAGGAGGCACAGAGTGACCCAAGAAATGACCCAGAGGTGACGTAAGGGGGCACCAGGCCAGAGGTGGACACGGGACCATGCCAGAGATGGCAGAAGCTGACAACCCGTGAACCCAAAGCCCCACTCCACCAGACCCCGGAAGAGGCTACAGCAGTCGGAGTAGAAAAGGTGGCTGGAGAAGCCATAAACCTGCACCCAAAAGGGCATCCAGAAGCATCCACAAGCATCCACAGCAAGAGGGTAATTAAAGTCCTTCCGCTCCCTTAACGAGAAGGGGCTTGTCTGTCTGCTCCTCAGGCGAGGCTCCCTGCACGGAGGTATTCTGCCTGGGTTTTCTCGTTTGAGGAAAAACATGGCTTTGCCCTCCAAAAGAGGCACGGAGAAGGGCACCGCCGTTTTTTACGCCTCGTCTTTGAAGCCCAGCTACAGTGAGCCTGTTCCTGAACTGCCACCTACCAGCCGGTCCAGGTTGGTCCCCCCTGCCGTGGTTGGCTTCTCCTCTGGCGGGTAGATCTGAAAGCGGTGCCTGCTTTCTTCTTGGGGGGCACGCCGGGAACGGGCAGGAGTCGGGCGAGGGTTGCCACAGCTCTGGAACACCTGAGGCAGAGCATGGACGATGGGTGGAGAGGCCTAGTTTAAGTTAATGCCAGTTAATCATAAAACAAGCTGAGGTCTTGCTTCTGAAAAGGTCCTTGGTGTCATGGGAGGAGGGAGGGAGGAAGGAGGGAAGGCAGGAGTAGGCAGCCAGAGCAGCAGGCCTTCCGTGTGAGACTAACCCTAGTTAGCCTAGAGTGGCCAAAGGACCAGAAGAGGCTGGCGATGCCCGTGAGACCAGCTAACGCATTGTAAGGCATAAGGCTCTAGTTTTTGGCTCTCCCAGATAAAACAAAATTTTATGGCTGTCATTCTCATTGTCAACTCTACAAATGAGCATGGCTACAGCCATTCTCCTTCTCATTCTAGGTTGCCACATACAACGGAGGGAGGGGGGTTGCCCCGGTGCTTCATTAGTCAAAATAATCCTTTTGTCCCGTGGGAACCAAGGTCATCAGCTGCTCCCGAGACTGCAGTCTAGGCGTTGCGTAAAAAGCCCACCAAATAATCATATTGGGGAACGTAGTTGCTTGCATAGTTTAATGGGTGGGATTTTTTAACTTTGTATTGGGGAATAGTTGCGCATGTATCCAGACTTGGTTTCACTTTTGACCATGCCAATACTTTGTAACTAATAAACATGTTCTTTGAGGAATTTGCAAGCCTCGGAGTTCTGCTTTATTCGTCCCTGTCTGTCAGAACCATGACACTCATCCTCTGGGGCTTCTTGTTCACCGTTCCAAGTATTTACTTACGAGACTGTAGGAAGAGTGAAAGAGTCTCTCTCTCTCTAAGCTCAGAGGTGAAGTCTTATTTGAGCAAGATGAGGAGAAAAAGCAAATTAAAAGGTTCAAACACACTTTCAGATCTTTAATTCTAAAACGATATTCCTGTCTGTAATAGAGTCTGCATTTTAGTCTGCCAGCCATATTACAGGCAGAAATTCTGTTTTGGAAAAGAGATAACCAAACATGGAAAACAGAATTTGGAGTTTCTGTCGGCATCCATCCGTACCTTAGCTGATGTCTGTATATTGCGTTCCTGCAGGTACATTATGGCCTCTGAAATTTTCACCGCAATGGAATCAGCTGCCAACTCAAAATTGAAGGGTCCTGCGAGTCGTTCCGCCAGTTGGATCAGTGCATCTTGAAAGAAGGAAGAGGGGTGTGTCTACCCTCGGCACCCACACCCTGGGGAAGCCACGGCTCTAAGGGCATCCCACACTGCCACCCCGCCCATCCTTCCATCGAGGTTCTGCTGGGGTCGGTGGCTGCCTCCGTGGCCTCAGGGTCCCCAGAAGGAAGAAGCAGAAGGCCAACAGCACCTCCCGGACCCCCAGATCTTGGTTTGGGAAACTGCCTTCACGGGAAGAGCTGCCGTTTAAAAGAAGCTTGTCTGCCCCCAGCTCAAAGGTCACCCCTCTCTGCCCTGCACACTTACCCAGGAAGCGCCCCCACTCGGCGTCCACCTCTGTGATGCTTGCCAAGCAGCCCTTCATGACGTTGAGGCAAAATCCGTGGCATGGCTTGAGGTCTGGAAGCCCACGGCACAGCGGGCAGAAGGAGAGGCGCCCGTATGCCCGTTGGCACTCTCCAGTGGGAGACAGCTGCGTAAGGGCGGGGGAGGGGAGAGCCAGGATCAGGCCTGCCCAGATTCCACGGCATCAAAAGGCAGAGAAAGGGAGACTGGGGGACCATGGCTCCTTTCACTGCGCTGGAGAGCCCCAGGAGCCAACCTGGACAGAAAGCCCCCCTCATTCTGCAGGGCCCCAGGGCCAAATATAATTATCACCAAAGGGGTGGGGGGGGGGAGATGAGTCAGAGGATTTAGGGTCTGGATGGCTCCTGGATGGGACTGCAGGTAACCCGGCCACAAGGGAGCCTCATTGCAGGCAGCCAGGAAGGTGAGAAATAAGACAGGAAGGTCTTGGACACCCCCAGCTGCAAGGGAGGAGGGGCCCCTCACCCAAGGGGTGGACGGCACTCTTTGCAAAGAAGGCAGCCCCAGAGGAGGAGGAGGAGGAGGAGGAGGAGGAGGAGGAGGAGGAGGAGGAGGAGAAGAAGAAGAAGAAGATGATGATGATGATTTGTAGAAGCTGCCAGTCTTCCTTCTCTCCTGAGACTCCAGGGGCTCTCCAGCGTTGGCCCCACCTAAAGGGAGGTTCATACCTGCACAAGCACTCACCTTAACGGCCTGGGCAACGATGTCCCGCCCAGTGGCCAGGCCCTGAACAAAGACCCGAGCAGCGAGGACAGCCCGAGACACCTGAGGAGGAGGAGGGACAGAAACCGGCACCCGGCGTCAGAGGAGCCGTGCCCGCCCGCCCACACGGTGCGAGCCGAGGGGAAGAGCGAGGGGGGGGGCTGGGTCTAGCGGGGTTAGGCTTCGGTTGGAGACATGCCGCTGACGGGGGCGCGTTCTGCAAGTTCTGTGCGCCCTTTTGAAATGCCAACCTTTCCTTAGAAATATGATCTAAAATGGGATCAGTTTTACACACAGGTCCTAAAATGAAATAAAGAGTGCCCATCAAACAAATGGGTTCTCTTTATCTAGTTTTAGGACCTGTGGAAAACCGATGACATTTTAGGTCATGTTTACGCAGAAATCTTGACATTTTAAAAGGGCGCACACACTTTTGGCCACCACTGCAGCTGCACCCTAACTTGAATATATCAGAAAGTCAATTCTTCGTTGCACACATGTGCCCCAGGGTGGGCAGGGGCAACACTTCAGGTTTGGGGGGGAATGGGGGTACGTTTCCTTTTGCTTTTTGTCTCTTTTGGCATTAGGGGAATAGCAATAGTGGATAATGGCCACAATGAAGCTTTGGGCTGGGCCAGCGTATGATTAGAAGACCGACTGGGGACCAAAAAGGAAAGTTGTTGGGGGCAGTGATGGAATCAAGCAGACCTACGAGATCCCTACGAAGACATGCCCCTCTGTTTTGTTGGCAAGGGGTTGTTCTGAAAGGATCTAGGGATACCTGGTTGGGCGAGAGGGTCAACCCTGGGGCAGGCATGGCTGTGGCAGAGGCCGGCTAGCTCAGAGGGAAGGAGGCTGCTTACGACTCCTATGGTAATTTCCGGTGCTGGGCACTTCAGCGCCTGAAGGAATGTTTCACAGAGCTTAACGTATGGACCGAGACATCGTGTGGTGAGACAGGATGTGGGGCTGACCGTGCACTAGGGCAAAGAGGGAAAGGGGCGCACCAACTCTTTCCCCTTTTGGCTCTCTCTGGCCGAGGCCCTCCTTGCCAGGCCGCTGTGAGTGGGACAGTGCCTGCTCCCCCTTCCCACCCTGCCGCCAGCGGGTCTGCTTCAAGCCAAAGCAGATAGGGAGCCTCTGAGACCTGAAGGGCTGTTCTGGTAGGAGCAGGGCTCACCTGCACCCAGAGCTGGCGGGGGCTGTCTCCAAAGGCATGGAGGCTTTCCACCTGGCGCCCCACACACTCCAGATACCCTTCTGGGAAGCTATACTGGGGGTTAAGCAGAGGCAGCATTCGCTCCAAGAGCTGAGACCAGAAGTCGCTCAGGGCCTCATCTAGGCCGGGCCGAGACCCCTTAAGGTGACGGTGCAACTCCACAAATAATCCCTGGAAGAGGCGGGCATGCTGCATATAAAGGCGCCCATAGGAACGGGCAAACATGGCCTGGAGGGACCGCTCAGCTCCAGCAAGAAGCTCCTGGAAAAAGTCTGGAAGTGGGAGAACAAACACCGAGGAGAGCAAGATTAAGCAGAGCCCTAGAAAACTCAAAAGGCGATAAAAAGAGAGGGCCGGGCGGCTGCCTCCTCCTTTCCCACACTCGCGGCAGGGGCTGGCAAGCAGGCGGTGACAGCAGCGAGGGCTGCCAACTGAAATTCTGGGGTGGGGTCAGGTGGGGAAGCGACCCCAGGTGGCCTCATGGCTTGCATGTGAGGAGAAGGGAGTCTCCAAAGCCTAGAAGTAAGGAGAAATTTCCTGACAGTGGGGACAGTCCGTGGAAAGGCTTACCTCAGGAGACTGTGGGCGCTCCACCACTGGAGGTTTTCAAGGGGAGAGGCTGGACAGCCATTTGTCCGGAATGGGACAGGGTCTCCTGCTTGAGCAGGGCGTTCAAGGTCCCTCCCGACCCAATTAGTCCACGCTCTGTTGGCGGGGACGGGGGAGGAAGTGCGAGAGAAAAGCAAAGAGAGCGACCCGCGGGAGGGTCCTTCCCCTCGCTTACCTTGAAAGCGGCGCTGGCGAGAGCTCAGGGTGTGGATCAGGAAGGCGCCCGGCTCCCCCAACAGCGCCCGGAGGTCCGCCTGCCCTTGCTCGCTGAGCCGCTCCTCCGTCTGGCTGGCGCAGCAGGTGTAGTCCTGGGGGCAGACGCGAAGGTGCTCTCCTGCAGGAATGGAAGGGGAGGGGCCCCGCCGATCTGTCACCCCTCGGAGGTGGAGTAGCCTCTGGGGTGAAGCAAACCAGGGTGGGCGCAACGGGAGCGCCTTGCCCTCCCTCCGTCTCGACACTGGGCAACAGCTTTCCCTTCTTCCCCCACGAGCCGGGCGCGCGATCGCATTCGCTTCCTCTTCCCGGGACCCTTCCTTGGGGGGGCGGGGGGGAGGGCGGACGGTCGAGGGAAGGCAACCGGCCCAAGAGAGGACAGAGACGTCCCTCCCAGGCCAGAGTCCGTCCGAGCCGAGCAATGGCCGCGACACGGTTAGACAGGATTTCCCTTCGCCAAAGACTCGCAAGGCGCTCCTGCCATTCCGGGAGCGGGACGGGCTGAGTCTCCCGGCGCTCTGATCGCCGCTCCTCGCCTCCCCCCCACACACACCCCCCGGGACATCGGTCAGGGACGCCCAGGAAACTTTGATCGCGCCGCCTTCCGAGAGGTTTTTTTTCCGGCCGAGCGCCCTTACCCGAGATGAGGCTGGGCGGGACCGAGGCGAGTGAGAAGCCGCGGCTCGCCAGCGCCTGCCGGGTCTCCGCGCAGCTCCGCGCTCCGCGAACTTCTCCAGCAGCGGCGGAACAAAGAAGCGCGCCCAGAGCCGAGAGGAGCACCAGCGTCCCCATCCCGCGAGGTGAGAGGCGCAAAGGCCGAGGGAAGAGGAGGCCCTTGGCGCGAGTCACGGCGCGCACCGCTCTGCCACGGCCGGCCCCTGAGAAGGACCGGGCGCCGCGAGAAACGGGCGAGTTTCCCCACGCTGAGCGCGGCGCCTGTGCGAGACAATGGGAGCCAACCCGCGGTGAGGGCCGCCGGGCCCTAGTGCCGCCCGCCTGCTCTCCTGGCCGGGCATCAGACAATGGGAGCGAATGGGGAGCGGCCCCAGCGTCCTCCGCTTCTCTGCTCTTTCCCCGCTCCTCTGCCGGCCCCGCCTCCCCGTTGCCCTTGCCGGAGGGGCCGTGCGGAACCTGAGAGCAACGAGGTCCCACTGAAGGGCGGGAGTGGGGAAGAGTAGCCTCATCCTCTTCCCACTAGTCTTGCGTAGGCAGCCTTCGGGGGAGGAGGAGGGGTGCTGGCTGCGTCTTCCCGGTTGGTTCCCACCCTCCGTTTATAGTCCAGTTATCATCATCAGGGGAAGCCCACGCGGCCCCAGGTTCCCGTGATTGCCCTCTGTGACCTACTGCCAGCTTCCCCATTGACTTCGGTTGTCTGAAGTGCCGGTTGCCAACGGGGTTGTGTGAACTCAATTGCAAGCCAATTGCTAAGCACCCAAATTGCGATCACAAGGCTGTGGGAACCCCAAGGGCTGTAACTACAAGGACTTGTTTTAAGCCTCCCATCATATTTTGAACTGGAGGCTGTTCAGGAAGGTCCTCCTGTGTAGAAAAGCTCTTCTGCTCCCTGATGCAAGACTCCAGTTAGGCCAGGAGAATAAGAAGAAGGGGGGGGGGAGACAGCTGAATGTGGAGGGGCTGAGAAGACAAAGGGCTAAGAAAATGTGGGCAACAACTGGACAGCAGTGGATCGAATGCGAAAGTGAGAAAGAAGTGGGTTGAGGGGTTGGCCTAGATCAGGGGTCTTCAAACTCGGCCCTTTTATGACTCATGGACTTCAACTCCCAGAATTCCTCAGCCAGCGTGTCTGGCTGAGGAATTCTGGGAGTTGAAGTCCATGAGTCATAAAAGGGCCGAGTTTGAAGACCCCTGGCCCAGATGGAGGGGAGGAGGGGGGATCAAATTGCAGAAGCAATGGATGGACGGTGAGTGGGTGAGTGGCTGGTGGAAGGAAGACTCACCAGGGGCAAAGAGGTGCAGGGAAGGATATGGCTGTCACTTTTTCCTCACCAGCCACATAGTGATTGGATGGGTCTTGTCTGGCTGCTGAGGAAACTTTCCTGGCTAAAGAAGCCGGGGAAAGGCCAGGGGTAGCTCCGACCAGGACTAGGATCCTCAGGGTCAGCCAGGGGAGTAGTGGGGGGGGCTTAGGGCGGACAACCAGGTTGGTCCTAGCAGGCCTGTGACTTTGTTCTGCATCCAAAGGAAAGCCTTGGGACAGCGCCGGCAGCACCAACCCTCTCCAGGCAGCAGGGGGCAGCACCTCTAGGCTGGATCCTGTGGGTTTTCTGGACAGGCCGGAGGAGGAGGAGAGGCCCTGCTGTCTCCCCTGGACAAAGGCCCGGCCGTGGAAACTAGATCCTAAGGCCTTGCCATAATTAATACTGCAATTAAAGAGGAAGTAAACAAATCTCTATGTGGCACAAATTCTTGGTTTCTTTCAACTACAATCTGTCCATTGTAGCGTCAACGTTTTTCCTACGGGCTCCTTGACACAGGATGCCCGAGTAAAGCAATCTTAAGAAGCCACCTTATCTCCTAACAGGGGTGGGGGGTGAGGGGGGTGGAGAACACACTGCCACTTCATAAGCTGGACACTTGCTCGGGGGCCTGAGTAGACAGAGGGGAAGGGGCCCTCCTTTAAGCCCACTGGCTTCCCTCCTGCCCACCCCACCCCAGACCATAAGGTGAAGGTGGAACCTGGCCCATCAGGTTGCAGACCATGGAAGACCGTTTCAGGGCTTGAGGCATGCCAGGTAGCCTACTCTGTGCACCTGGGGAAGCAGGGGACTCCTGCTGGCAGCTCGTGGGCAGGGTGTGTGTGTGTGTGTGTGTCTCCAGGTAGATGCTATGTCTTCAAGAAATCAGAAGTGGTATGTTAAATTTAATGTTTTGTTCTCAGATTCTGACTCTCACATATTTTTAATATTGCTCTTTGTCCCACAGAATTCCGTACTGTTGTAATGACATTAGCAGCTACTGAAATACCAAGTTCCGTAGAAGCCACCGGAAAACCATGGAGACAGACTGGTTAGTGTGCCTGACTGAGCAAATTCTCTGTTTAGCACAAAACCATTGCTAAGGAGACTATAATTTAAAGTGTGCTGAGTGTACAAAAAGCAAGCCAAACAGAGCACACATTTACAAGCACACAGCAAGGCAGATAATCCATTTCATAATCTGTTTCATCCATTGGTTTTTCTTGCCTATGTAAAAAGTAAAACCTCACTTTTCTCACCGCTGAATTGCGTTTTGTTGGGTAGGACCCAGTGATCAAGTCTGTCAGGATTCTTCTGGATCTGGAGCCTATCTTCTAAAGCATGCAATGGGCCCAGTTCAAGCCCACGGGGTCGCCCCGGAGACAGCGAGTGGCCAGCCCCCGCCACCACGGCCCCGGCTCACCCCAGCCACCCCAGCCCAGGCAAGCAAAGACGGACGTCACTGCCACACCACGGTGTGTAAAGACGGAGGCAAAGAATGGATTAAACGGTTCCGCTTTCTCCCTGCTGCCTCTTTGCCATCCTCTGTGATTAGTGGACCAGTTGTTTCCTTGGTTTTTTTTTTCTTGTTTTTTATATGTTGAAAGAAGCCTTTTTTGTTATTTTTGTCATTTGTTGCAAGCCATAGCCCATTCTGATCCTTAGCTTTCCTGACTTCATCTTTGCAGAATGGGGCTACACATTGATATTCTTGCCACCCCCAAGGCTCCTGTAACTTAGTGAGAATTAAGTCCAGAGGAGCTGGGCCCCCAGCTCCCTTCTCTACCTTTGGGAGGGAAGTTCATTGGGTCCCTGTTTGATCACCCACTAGGTGCAGAGTTTGTCTCCCAGTTGTTGTCAGGGTAATTAAAATCCTCCCCCATGGCTAATGTGGTGTGCTTCCTACATACCTTAGTTAACCGATTAGCAAAATGTTCAACTATTTCCTTTGTTTGTTTGGGTGGTCTGTAGGGCACACCTTTGGCCATGTCATTTTTTTCTCCTTTTATATCCGTGTTATCCCTGACAGGCCACCAGAGGAACCCTGGAATGGGACAGCTGTTGTTAAGGACACGTGTGAAGAGGCTGCCGAAGACTAAGAAACAGAAGAAAGCAGACTAGACCTCCGAAGAAAAAGCAGAAATTGCCATGATCAGAACAGACAGACAAACAAACAAAAAAAAACTTCAGGAAGGAGCTTAAGGAATTTCTGAAGCTGTTAGAAGAATTGCAAGACAGTATAACAACAACAACAATAACATAAAGACAGCAAAGATGTAAACAGACATGGAAAAACAAGTAAAAAAGAAGAAGGCTTGAATCTGGTACGCTAAAGGCCTTAAGGGACAGATGATGACTGATTCAAAGAAAGAAGATCAAACAAAGATGGAAGGGGTGTGCTGGAATTCTGAGGTAATTCTGAGGTACTTTAAAAGATACTTCCTATTTCCAAGAACCTCGTCTAATAGCAGAAGGTGACGTGAAAGGAGCCTTCCAGGCTCGTGATCAACTCAGAAGGCTAAGGTAATTGATGGCGTATCTACAGAAATATAGCAAGCGAGAGAAAGAGGATCAGGAAAAGAGAACTACCACAAAGGCCATCAGATTGGAAGAAGTCAGTCTACATACCAAAAAGGAGACTTAGCAAATCATTATACAATAGCCTTAATTTCCCAGGCTAGAAAAACAATGTTTAAAATCATCCAGTGCAGATTAAAGCCCTGTTTGGAAAGGGAAATAAATCCCCGTTGTTCAAGCTGATTTTAGAAAAGGTCACGAAACAAAAGAAATTGTTACTGATGCACACTGGATAATTGAGAGAGTCAGAGACTACTAAAAATAAATCAATAGGTGCCTTATTGATTAAAGGAAGGTCTTTCATTCTGTTAACCATATAAAGCTGTGGAATATGCTTGGAAAAATGAACATCTCATTGGCTTCATCCAAAGGCTAGATAAGCCATAACAGAAGTGGGGAAAAAACAAAACAGATCACCAGAGGGGTGAGACAAGACTGGGTGCCCTCTTCATGGGTTCATTCTATAGGTTGCATATACGTTAGGGAGGCTACTTCGGAGCATAATTTTAAAATTTGCCCAGAAGATCAGCAGAGTGAAGGGGTGCCATTCCGGGCCCAGGGATCTCCTGGATCTCTTTCGGGGAGACCAACGCAGGGTAGCAGCTCTGGAGCCTTCCCCTCTCCAGACGTCCCAAAGGGCGGAGGCTGCAAATCTCCTGACATGCCACTGGCAGAAGGGGAGATCCCAAACCTCAAAACTTGGCTGGGATTGAGGCACACTCACGGCTGCCCCCCACCCACCCGCAGCAGCAGAGGAGGTTGACCAGGCCATCCGGATGACCAACCGTCCGGATCCTCACATTTCCCTTCCCACCACAGAGCCCTGAAGGCCGCTATACTCTTGTTGGCTGGTCTTGGAAAATTCCTCTCCCGCCGTTACCCCTGGCAAAGGAGAAATGAACTTGCAAGACACCGAGAGGGTCCGGTTGGGGCAGTGGGCCAGCTGCTTCAATTTCCCCTTGGAAAAAAGGATCTTGCCAAAGCTTTGGCAGCTAAGGCCAGCCCTCTCTGGTTTCCCTCTCTGCCCATGGACATCGGCAATCACACGCCTGTGCGATACGTTGAGCAGACGCAGCCCGTTCCTTGGAGCGCCACGCTGGCACCATCCTCAGGTTGCCCCTGAGCTCTGGCACTTCTGCATCCTCCTCCCCCCGCCCTCCAAGTCCACTGAGGGAGCTCTGTGCCATGAGGATGCCACTTCCTGGCAGATGCAGAGCACAGGTCTCCATGCCAGGGATGGGGCAAAGCACTGGGGAGCTGTTCCGTTGGCACAGGAAGGATCCAGACAGACTCTTGCAGAGTCTGGGTCAGCCCAGAGAATAGGCAGCTAGTCTGGCCTTCCTGGAGCAGCAGAAAAAATGCTCCCCTCCCCTCCCCTCCCTCAGCAGCAGCAGCAGCAGCAGCAGTGAGTTAAAATGCTAGCTCAGGAGTCTGCGGCTCCCACAGGCCCTGACCTGCCACCCCCAGCCCAAAGGGGGCCCAGGGCTGGCAGGGGTCAGCTGCTCTGCCTTCCGTCAGTTCGGCATGGCGGGAAGGGGGGGGAACAGAGGGGCCGTGATTACTGCTTTCATCCTAAACCTAGGTTCTCCAAAATGAATCTTTCTGACGCCATAATAATGAAACGGGCAGGAGCCTCACCCAACTCCCTATTCTGCAATTAGTCTGATACCACTTTAAAAAAACCTTTCATTAAGAAAGATTCAGACAAAATGCCAAACGTGTATTATCTGGCTTAAAATCCACACTTACTGCAGAATTTAATCCATTGCTGACTATATTCAGAAGCAATAAAAATGCTGAAAGTGTTAGTGTAACAACTGAACTAAGGCAGTGTGATATACCCAGTGAATGTCTCCCAATTTCTTTAATTCAACATTCTGCTCCGTTTCTTAGAGGAACACGATGCAAAGTCCTCCAGGTGTTGAAGAACAATGCAGAAATGAGCAATAACTTTCAGATTTTTACAGGTGAAGATGTCAAAGTAGCCATGTAGGTGTTCAAGAGCCTCACTCCACAGAGGAAGACACAATCTTCCAATCTCCCACCTCTCTTTTTTAGGGAAATCTGTTGACAAAACAGTTCACCTACAGCTCCAGAAGACCGTGGAAGAAGTGGATTTTCTGGTTTTGTTCTGGGTTTTAGGCTGGGATAATATGCCAAGATGGCTTTGATCTCTCTTGTGGATGACCTTCTGGCAGATTTGGGAGTGGGGGGGGTTCATCCATCCTGACACTCCGGTTTCTCAGTGGCCTTCAACCCCATCAACCCTGGTATCCCTCTGGACCACCTGGGGGTGGGAAGAGCTCCATTACAGTTCTTCTCTCAGCACTGGTGGGGGAGAAGAGCTTGATCAGAGCCCCCCCCCCCATTTTGCCTCAGGGCTCGACTCCGACTCAACAGCTACAGGAAGCTGCTTGGTCCTCTGCGGGCAGGGGAGGTACCCTCCATATGCCTGCCTGGTTGTACCGCTCCACCTGGACAACCAACAAATGCCAGCAAGATGCTTTTCCAGTGCTTGTACAGCAAGCTTCAGTTCAGCCCTGGAACGACTCCCTCCCCCTCCCCATTTCTTTACATTCTCCATATTTAAGTTAAGTGCCTGGTGTGGCACTTCTCCAGTCAGGGACGGTATGCATTCCTAGCACCTGCTTGAAGAGTTGTGAAGGGCTGGGGTGGGGTGGGGGCTTTATGCACCAGTTCTGCTTATCCCAGCAGCAGGAAGCCTGGCTCCCAGTGACTTGCTCACCTCCCGTTGGGCTTGCTGTACTGTGCGCCACAGGAGCTGCCTCGAGGCCCAGTCAGAACGCAGCTGCAGGGGCAGCGTTTTTCGTTTCGCCCATTATGCCCACTACTGCCCTGGAAGTGGCACTGGCTACCGGTACAAAGTGTGGGTTCTCCCCTACGAAGCCCCGTGGTGTTCATAAAGCCCTAGGTGGCATAGGGCCCAGCTACTTCCCCATCGTCTCTGCTTGGCCCTGGTGTGCGATGGCTCTCCAGGGTTTTCCAGCTCTGAGCAGAGAAGCTGGTCAGGTGAGCACCAGTGGTGCCAGTAGTGGGAGGCCGAGCCCAACCCCCTCCCCACCCCAGCCCCTCCAGGGACCCTGGAGCCCTCCTCTCATCACCTGCTGCTTGCTGGTTGCATTCAGACAAAAGGGCCCTCAGAAGACAAATGTAAGCCACAGAGGAACACCCCCAGCCCCTCACTCACCATGACCAGCTGCGGGGGCATGGCTCCAGAGCCTTCCACTGCCACTCTAAGGTGGCTCCCCTGAACCGTATCCCAGGTCAATTACCCCCAAGGGAGGGAGACGCACAGGGTGTACGTATTTATCCCCTTAAGGATTATGAAGATCCAGAAAAGGCTTAAGCAGGGAGTGCCTACAAATCTCTGCTGCTTGATGGGAGCGGAAAAGGAGATGAGACAATTTTTCGGAGGAAAAAAAATCAGTGGGACCGGCAGAACGTGAGTTCAGCCTTCCAGACCCGCTCTAGACCCACAGCGGCCGTTTCCAGAGTCCACTGTCGGCCTTGAAACAGGCGAGGCGGCGATAAGAACCGGCTCCTTGCGCGGAGCAAAAAGCCGGCTTTATTCCACCCCCGGAGGGCTCACAGGAGGCTCACGGGGGGGGGGGGAGCGGATCAGGGAAGGAGACCGAGCAGGGCCCTGCTTCGGGGAAGGGGGGGCTGGGGAGGGGGGAATTACGGACGCGCCTGAAGCGACTGGCGCACGTTTCGAGTCCAAGGGCCGAGCCGGACGGACAGACGGATGGATGGATGCGGTTAGCGGCCACTTCGGCTTCGCCCGTCCTGCCGCCTGTACTTGAGGCCGGGGGGGGGGGCGTTGCGGAGCGGGGGACAAAGAGAAGCACGCTGGGCGGGGCAAATGTGGTTGGGGAGCGGGAGGCCCACGGAAAGCCGCGGGGCGGGCAGAAAGCGCGAGTGACCAAAAAAGTTTGAGACAGAAAAGGGGCGGAGGGAGAACGCCAGGAGGGGGAGGGGAGGAGGGGAGGAGGGGGTCGAGGAGAGCCGGCGGCGGAAGCGGCCCCCCCGCTCCGGATTACTCTCGTCCGTCGGCGCCGTGGCGCTCATCGCACCCGTTCCCTGGCCCTTCCCCGAGTGAGCGAACTGGGCAGCCGTGGGAAGGGCAGGGATCGGGCTTAGACCTCCGACTCTTTCTCGGTAAGGCAGACGCGGAAAAGTTTGGAGACGCCGAAGGATCTGCGGGCGGAGGGGCCGAGCCGGGGACACCCCTCCCCCCAATTCGGAGCAGCTTGTGGTCGGGCGCGCACTGGGGATCTCCCGAGTCGGTGGGACGGTCTGGCGCGAAGAGCTTCCACAAGGTGTGCGGAGATGGGCGGGCCGAGGCTGCTCCAGAGAGGCGCTCTGCACGTTCTCTGGAGGCGCTGGGTGCAGCGCGGGGCTGGGTTTGGCGGCTGGCGGGTGCAGGCGCCCAGCCTGGGTGCGAAGTCGGCCTCATCCCTGCTGGAGTCCGGTAGCGAACGGCCGACAGGCAGGCAGGCAGGCAGGCAGGCAGGCAGGCAGTAGTCTGACGGATGCAGGGGAGGGGGCGGGCGGGCCTGGAGCTGACCTATGGAGCAAAGAGCCTGCCCCTGCCCCGGGGTTAATCGCGCAGCAGGAGGCTCTTTAGGGGCGGGGGGGGGTGTGCTCCGCCGGGAGGCAAGCCGGTCCCGCGTTCGGAGAGGGGCCCCTGGTGCGGTGGGGTTGCCAAGCGGGGACCCCTGTTGCTTGGGCAAGCTGTAGGCGGCTGAGAAGTCTGCACAACTGTGAGCCTTCCCCGCCCTCGCCTATACTGGGGTCAAACCCCACCAATTAAAAACCTGGAGGCTACATTCCAACAAATTCCAGGCTTGGCTGCTTTCTGCTCTCTTGCTCTTGCGTGAAAATGTCGCTGCCCAGTGACGAGGGGCAGAGCAGTCGGAGTCCTGCTGCGTTCCAGTTGTCCCTGGAAGGTACTGCCATCTGTCCACTTCTGCCCGTGTCCCATCCTGCCCCTTGGAAAAGAAGGCCAGGAATGCAGCTCCACAGGACCTGGGCTTCACTGATGGTGGTGCACTCGCAGAGCACCACGTTGGGCATCTTGCCCAGCGAAACCCCCGCCCCCCCCCCAAGGGCATGAGTCTTAGCACTCTGTTCCGCCTGCTGTTGTTTTGGGGATGAATAATGGAGGAGGAGGAGGGGGGGGAATGGACACGGAAGGCCTGGAGACACCTCCCATCCATTCAGCAGTTTGGCTTTGCTAGGGGGGGGCGAAATACTCCACGGAGCCCTTAGGGATCATGCCACTTGCCCCTAGTGAGGCGGGCATTCCCCACTGCTTCCCCCTCCCCCCCAAAATCTGGGAGTGACCAGAGGGGCATCCAGGTGCCCCTCTGTCTTTTCTCCGGTCAGGTCACCTGGAGAATCAGGCCTCCTCCGGTGGCTTGGCTTGGGCTGTGCCGGGGCAGCGGGGGTGGGGAGTTCCAGGCAGGGGATCAGAAGGTCAGGCCAGGTGACCCCTGCAAGATGGGGACAGGTCCAAAAGGCAGCCATGGAACTTCCTCCCCTGCAGGCGAGCCAGAGGACTTGGGGGGTGAAGGAGCAGGAGGGCACGTGCAAGGCCTTGGTAGGGCTCCCACTGAGGGCCCAGGGACGGGGTCTGCCAAGCACAGAGGGTCTTCCACCACTGCTGTCTCTCTGCCTCCCGCCCCTCAAGGTGAAGGATGGGGAGCCTTCCCAGGTGGCAGCGGTGTTGCTGCTGCTGCTGCTGCTGCTGTCGGCTGCCTTTGCTTTGGGTCGCGCTGGCCGTCTGCACCACGATTGGCTTCACTGTTCAGCTCCTGGGCATCTCCCTTCCGAAGAGGTAATAACGCCTCCCCCCTCCCTCCAGTTCAGCCATGGCCAGAGGCCCAACTGGGCCAGGCAGGGGAGTGGGGGGGGGTGCACAGAGCTTGCTAGGTTGAGTGGGCGGGAAGTGACCGGGCAGAAGGTGGCCAGGCAGCAGGGGAGAGCCGGGAGACTTCAGGAAGGGGGTCAACCCAGGATCGTATTCTGCCCTTGCAGGATCAGGCCTAGTTGGGTGGGAGACCCCCAGAGGGGAATCCCAAGGCCAAAATGGAAATAGAAAATCTCCCGACAGCCCCTCTCACCCTCTGGCGGAGACTTCTCGAACGCCACTGGAGGGGAGCCGTTGCCGTTGCCAGCTGCCTCATCCTTCTCCAAACTCTCCCAGCAGGGTGTCCTCACCTCCGCTGCTCTCCCCCACACGCGCTCCAGTCCCCTCGGCAGAACCTCTGGGGGTGCGGGAGGAAGAGCCCGTCAGCCACCTCCTCTCCTGCCAGCCACGGCAACACCTGGTCTTCCTGAAGACCCACAAGACCGCCAGCAGCACCCTCATCAACATCCTGCACCGCTTTGGGGACACCAGATCGCTGCGTTTTGCCCTGCCGGCCGGCTACCAGTTCAGCTATCCCAGGCTTTTCCAGGCACGACACGTGAAAGGGTGGCGCCCCTCGGGGGCCCCATTCGACATCCTTTGCCACCACATGCGCTTCAACTTGCTTGAGGTGGGTGGGAGGATTCGGAAGCAGCCAGGCTGGATTCGGGAGGAGGGATGTGGGAAGGAGGGGAAGGGGGGGCTTAAGGCTCTTCCTCTAGGGGGCTTTTGTGAGCTGCTGCAAGAAGCCGGGAGCGAGCCCCACTTCTGGCTGGGGTCGTGAGGCATCACATCTCCCAAGATGCTGCTAGCTGTGGCTCCTCCGGAGTGGGAATTGGCAGGGGAAGGGGTGGAGCGGGCGGAAAGGGCTGCCTAGGAAGGGGAACGGGTGCCAGGAGAGGGAGTGGCCTGGGGGAAGAGGGCTGTGCCCAACGCTTCCTCCTTAGCTGATGGCCTGGGCTCCAACTTCCACCAAGGAGACAGGCCTTTTTTTCCTTGGGCACCAGCTGTGGTGGGCATTAGCATTAACTTCCGCATGTTCCCCTCCAGGTCCAGAAGGTGATGCCCACAGACAGTTTCTATTTCTCCATAGTGCGGGATCCGGCTTCCTTGGCTGAATCGGCTTTCTCCTATTACCGAGGTGTGGTTCCTGCCTTCCGCCGGGCTCGCTCACTGCCAGAGTTCCTGGCTTCTCCACAGAACTTCTACCGGCCTGGTGAGCGTGGCAGCCACTATGCCCGCAACCTGCTTTGGTTTGACTTTGGCCTTGATCCGCCAACAAGCCCCGGCTTAGCCCCAATCCACGCTGCCCTGCTGGGACTGGATCGCATTTTCCACCTCGTGCTGCTGACGGAATACATGGACGAGTCGCTGGTCCTGCTGCGTGACGCCCTCTGCTGGAGCTTTAAGGACGTGGTGGCTTTCCAGCACAACCTGCGCAACCCGGAGGCCGTTCACCAGCTGGGGGCCGCCGACGTAGCTCGGCTCCGCGCTTGGAACCACCTGGACTGGCATCTCTACACTCATTTCAATCGCACTTTCTGGGCACGTGTGAAACACTTTGGCACCGCCCGCATGGCTGGGGAAGTGGCCATTCTCCGAAAGCAGCGGGCAGATCTTACGCGGCGTTGTTTACAAGGGGGGGGCCCACTGGAGCCAGGCCACATTGCCGATGAGCGCATCCGCCCCTTCCAGTTTGGGCAGGTGCCAATCCTGGGCTATGCCCTACAACCCAGCTTGGCATCTGGCCTGCAGGCCGTGTGTCAGCAGCTGGTCACTCCTGAGCTGCAGTACAAGGACCTCCTGGATGCCAAGCAGTTTCCCCACGCCTACAAGGGGGGCGATCTCAGACAGGGAGGGGGGGAAGCAGCTCACAACGGCTCTCGGCAGAAGCCATCCGACTGAAACGGCCCCCGTGCTCTGCCGGACACCCCCATCCACGCAGGAAGCCATGGGCAGAGGGGGCCCCAGGAGAGCTGCAGGGATGCGCAACGCCGGCGGAACGAAGAGACTCCCGTGTTTAGAGAGGCAAAAGGCTGTCGGTTCTTTTAAACGCCTTGGGATTGCTTAAGACTCGGGGGGAACAAACAGGGCAACGTGCCCTCTCTGACACCGGGCACGCTCGCTGCTTGACGGGAGAGGGGCTTCCATAATTGGATTTCTCATAACTGGGCCAGGGAGAGCGTGAACACCCTCCCTCCCCCCTCGGCCCAGTATTTCCCCCCCTCCCACCCTAACAAGGCATCCTCCAAAGCCTGGAGGACCAGCATTCTTGGGGGTGGGGTGGAAGGGGCTGGGGTGCAGACAACCCCTGGGCTCTCTCACCAAAGTGCTCCTGCTGTCTGGCCACGGAGTGCCTCCCTCTCCTGCCACTGTCTCGCCCCAGATGCAGCGGGGCTTGTACCCGGAAGACCAGGGAAGCTGGAGCCGCCGTGGGGCTTCCTGGCTCTTCTCCCCACATCCTTCTCCGCATGGGGAAAGGAGGCTGCACGAGAGACTTCCCAGGCAGGGAGGCTCCGGTGGCCATGCGGACGACCCCATGCATTTGGGGACCCGGTGCCCAGGGCTGGAGCTGGGCCCAAACCCCGAGGATCTGCGGAGACGTTGCTGGCAAACGCCGGGAGAGAATGAAGCTGCCCTGAAGTTGATGAGGAAGCCAGCAAGATGCACAACCAACCCAGGATGGGAAGGAAGATGAGGAAACAATCATTATTTCAACAATTAATCAATCATTCAGAGTTATATGACCCAATCAGAAGGGTTTAATTTACAGGGAGTTTACCTAAGGAATAATAAATTACAACGAATAAAAGGCTTCCTGAGAAGAGGCCCTTCCAACTAGCTTCTCTAGCTTCAGCCCAGCTCTGCCCTCAGCCTGGACAGCCCAAAGAAGAGCGGCCAGAGCCAGGAACCAGCCAGTAGGATGAGCTGCTGATGGGCTTAATCCTGCTGGGGCATCAGGGCTAGTCCAGGGTGCAGGGATTAGACAGGCTTTGGTCTATCCAGCGCAGGGCTGTTTCTAGCCTGAACAAAGGAGCCTCAAGGAAAAGCGCAGGGCCTTCCCTGCCCCTCCCCCCTCCCCCCCTTCTCCCAGGAGGCCCCATAACCCAGCTGTCTCTTGCATACGCGTGAAAAGAAAAGCTGGATTTTGCTGCCCCTTAAGAGCGAGGCTGAATTATGTAAAAGGGCGGGATGGAGAAATAGATGTCATCCCACACCATCCTGGGAAGCAAGCCATGGGTGTTCCCAGTAATCCTTGGCAGGGTCTGGTGGCTGTGTGAAGCCTCAGAACCTCCCACCTCCGGACTCTTCCTAGGTGCCAGGGTTGCCACCCTTGCCCTCGCCCGCCACCCACAGCAGGCTGCAGGACTACTCGGCCATGGCACGCGGAGTAAATCTGAGCGCTGCTGAGCTGGGCCTGCCTGACCCTCGTGGAGAAGAGCGCGCCCAACTCCCCAGCTGGAGACACCCGCAGAAGCACAGTGCTGTCCTGGTGGTCTTGCTGGATAGGGAGGCAGGGCTGGGGCTGGGGCTGGAACCTGGACCGTCTTCAGGCCGTCGGAGAGATTGAGAACCTCAGGCTCACCCAGCTGTGGCTACAATAGTTCAGATCTGCACCTTTGTTCTTTATGGGCCCCAATAGCCAGGTCAACACAAGAGCCAGGCCGGCCCTGCCTCCTCTGGTTCAATCAGTATTCACACTGTGGAGCTCTCGTAGCTCTTTCCAGCGTTTTCGGCAGTGACCCTATTTAGATTTTTTCCCCATTATACAATTATTGTGTTCATTTTCAAAAAGGAGAATATCAGTGTAAAAAATTAAAACACATTGATTGGGGTAGTCTGAGCCTTACTTGTTTTGTGTTCTTAATGCTCCTTTTATTCTTAGAAGTCAAGATTCTGCTCTCCAGAGAGGGACATTTCTGCTTTTGAGAAATGCCAATGGCCAGAGAAGTGACCCATTGGTGGCAGGACTGGTCACTTTCCGCCTGGCCTCCCTCTTGTCCAGCTGCGTGGCACCGCTTCAGGTCAGGGCTGGGTGGTGCTTCCTCACTGCCACCCCCCCCACACACACCCCTTCTTCCTGAGGAAGGAAATGCCTGGGCCAGGTCCTCCTCTTGCACGCAGGATGACGGGGTGTTCTCTCACAACTGGAACAATTTACTCTGAATCTGGGCAGGGTGATAATGGCGAAGAAGAAAAATTCAACTCTCAGGTAGATCCTCCTGGCCCTAGGGGCGGGGTGGGGTGGGGGGGGTGAGAGCCACAGGCCTGTCTCCTGAGATGGTTAACTGGCCACGGAGCAGCTGGAGAGCTGCCCAGATGAGGAAGGGACCGGGAGGGGGGAAGATAGGACAACGTGGTTTAAATGTGATACAATAACGTGGTTTAAGTGTATCTGAAAGGTTGTTATCAGACAAGGAAACCGCCTCCTTTGCCCCATCCGGAAGACTGTACAGAATCTAGACTAGAGTCACTGAGAAAGAAAGTCAGCAACTCTGTTGCAAGCTGCCCTCCCTTGGCGTTCCCACGGGCACGCAAAGAGGCCAACACGCAGGTGGAGTTCCGGTGGTCGCCCGGCCCCGCAGCCGCGTGACGGCAGTCTGGCCGCTTGGTAACCAGCTCCACATTTACCGCCGTTTGCAGCATCCCGCAGACCCATAATCCGCGATTTTTGGCAAATTTTGCTCGTTTTCAGTGTTTACTTTCAATCTCTGGCAAAAACACGTTCTTTGGGTGTAATGGATTTCGCTTAACGACCACAGCGCTTAAGAAAGTTTGTAAAACTGGGCACGGTCACTTGACGAAATGCTTAATGACCAGCACTGTAATTTGTCTGAGAGGGTGTAGGTTCTCCTGCTTGAGCAGGGGGCTGGACTAGAAGACCTCCAAGGTCCCTTCCAGCTCTATTCTGTTCTAATTCCGAGCTTACCGCTACACCGTAGGAGGAGCTGTGCTAGGAGGCTGTGCTGGGCCACACTGAAAATTCAAACGGGTTCACAATCCTTTAAAGGTCCGCCATGTTAAATCCCGGACGATTATTTAATCACATTAACAGACAGTGCAAAATAACATGTGCAAAACTACATTTATTAACGCAAAAACTGTAATAACAGCACAACTACTGTACCCGAATCCTCGGCCCAGGAAGGGAGGCACGGCCGGTCAGCCTCGGGCCTCCGGGACCTCCGCTCTTCCCTCCCAGCCGTCCGTCGCCCAAGCCAAAGGGGCTCCGGGGCAAAGGACGTTTTCGGGCCGCTCCGCGCTGGAAGGGGCCCGGCTGCGGAGGCTGCGGGGAGCAGCGAAACGCCGAAGGCTCCCGCCGCGCAGCCTCCCCGCACCGCGCAGCCGTCGAGGAAGGGGCGGGCAGTCAGCAGGGAGACGCCCACGGCTTCCTCGCCCCGCCCGCCCGCCGCGCTGCGCCCGCCTCCCGCCTCCCTCGCCGCCTTGCTCTCCCGCAGACCCCGGCCCGGATCCGCCTCCCGCGCGCCTCGCCTCGCGCGCCTCACCTTCCGCACCCGCCCGCCCGGAGCCCGACCNAGCCGCCGCCGCCAGCGCAGCAGCAGGAGCAGCAGCCGCCTCTCGCGGCCCGGCTGGGAGCTCGCCCGCCGCCCGGCCCGCCCGCCGGCATGGAGTCCCAGTGCGACTACTTCATGTATTTCCCGGCTGTGCCCTTCCCGGCCCGCGAGGTGCTCCTGGGGGAGCCAGGCCGGTACCGGGCCTTGCCCCGGAGGAACCACCTCTATCTGGGCGAGACGGTCCGCTTCCTGCTGGTCCTGCGGTGCCGCTCGGGAGCCGGCGGCGCTCCGCGGCCGCCCTGGGGGGAGCTGGCAGGCTCGCTCTCGGCCCTGGCCAGCGTCAGCCCGGCCGGCGTTGGCGTTGGCGGCGGCGTTGGAGACGAGGCCCTCCTTGGTGAAGCAGCGGAGGAGGGCGCGGCTGGAGCCGGAGAGGCGGCCGCCAACGGAAGCGTCTTCCGGGAGTGCCGGGCGCTCCTGACCCACGGCCACGGCACCCCGGGAACGACTGCAGTGGCCGTAAGTCCGGGACCGGAGCGGCGGCGGGGCTCGCTGCGCCCCTCGCAGCGTTCTGACCCTCGGCTCCCTCGTGCAGGTCCCCCCCGAGGAGCCCATCGTGTCCACCGACGAAGTCATCTTTCCGCTGACCATTTCTCTGGACAGGCTGCCCCCCAGCACCGTCAAAGCCAAAGTAAGCCCCCTCCCCGCCCTCCCCTGCCCGACCCGCGCCCTCCAGACCGGGTTGTCCAGGGGTGATGCCCGTTCTTCCGCAGATCGTGGCGACCGTTTGGAGACGCGACCAAGAGAGAGGCGAGGTCCGGGAGCGCGGCTACCTCAGCATCCTGCAGGATCGGGCCCCTTCCCAGATCTTCCGCGAAGAGCAGGGCGCCTTCAAGGCGCAAGGTGAGCCTGACCCGCCGTCCGCCTTCTGCGCCTGCTCCCGCCGCGGCAGTGCGGAGCTGATGCCTCCGTCTCTGCCCTTGGTTCACAGTGAGCACCATGCTGACGGTGCTGCCCCCGCCGGAGCTGAAGTGCCAGCAGCTGAACGTGTCCGGGAAGCACTTGACGGTGCTCAAAGGTGTGTTGCTTGGCAGGGAGGGGAGGGTCCCTCTGCAGGTGTCCGGAGGGCCTGCCCTCCCTTACGCGCTCCCCTCCCCTGCTTTGCCTCGCCTCCCTTCCCAGTTCTGAACGCTGCCTCCCAGGATGAGCTCTCGGTGTGGGATGTGCGGATCCTGCCCAACTTGAATGCCAGTTACCTTCCCATGATGCCAGACGGCTCCGTCTTGCTAGTAGATGATATCTGGTAAGAGGGCCAAGCGGGGGGGGGTGTCTGAGGGGGGACGAGAAGCGTTTAACCAACATTCCCTGCTCTTCAAAACATGCTCGGAGCTGTTTGCTTTTGAACAGCCCAAATCCCACCACGGCTGAACTGAACTTCCCTGAATGCCAGTTTCAGGGCTGGCATTTGGATGAGCCACAGCAGGGCCTGAGCCACAGCCAGTTTGTCTAGTGGTTAAAGCACGGGTGAGAAGCCAGGAGGAGGCGGGGAGTTCTGGAGCCGCCTCAGGCATGAAAAGCAGCTGGGAGACTTTGGGCCCTTCCCCCTCCCCTCAGCCCCTCCCTCAGCTGGCAGGGTGGTGGTTTTGTCCGGGGGGGGGGGGAAATAGGAGGAGGAAGGTATGTTGGATATGTTTGCCACCTTATTTTTAAAAACAATAAAGGTGGAATAAATAAATATACTTCTCCCTCACCTTGCACCTCGGGTGATCTTGCTCCGTGGGGAGGGGGAGGGAGGCTGCTGCTGGAGCCTTTCAGAGGTCTCCTTGGGCTGCCCCAGAGGGGCACAAGGAGAAGCTGCCTCCAGGACGGCAGAAGCCGGGCACCAAGGTGAACCCAAGGGGTGTCACCACCTGCATGCCCAGGAGCTTGGAAGGGAGCTCCTTGCGTGGCAGAGCCTGGCACGGAATCCTTCTTTTCTCCCAGCCGTGGTGGGCTGTGGGCAGAGGCAGTGCTCCACTCCCCCCTCCCTATACCTATACAATTGGTGTGTGCCAGGAAAGCGTGTGTGCGCGCGCACGTGTGTAAGGAGGGGGCTGGGGGGCCCGGTTTTTCATATGCTGCTTCTGTTCCCCCTCCCCACAGCCACCAATCCGGTGAAGTCTCCATGGCCTCCTTTTGCCAGGTGCCCTCGGCCACTTCCGCTTGGCCCTGCTCCCTCCGGGCGCTGGAGGAGCAGAACTTCCTTTTCCAGCTGCAGGCGCCAGAGCAGCCCCCTGACAGCACCAAAGAGGTGAGATTACCCCTCCCCCCTCCGGGCTCTGGGGCCCCCTCCTTGCCTGAGCCCCTGCAGCGCAGAGCGGGAGAGGGAGGCAGGGGGCAGCTGCTCATTCTGCCCTGGCACTTGCAGGGCCTGGAGGTTCCTCTTATTGCGGTGGTGCAGTGGTCGACCCCCAAGCTGCCCTTCACAAGCAGCATCTACACGCACTACAGGTGAGCGACCCCTCTTTCAGGCCGGGCAGGAGACGCAGCTAGCCCCAGACTGCCCAGGAGGGGGGGGGGAGGAGGGCCCCTTGGTCTGTCTGGCGCGGGAGGACAAGACAGCCCCAACGTTCTACATGGTGGGATTAGGGCAGCCCAGAATTTTGTTTGCCTTCACACAGTTTACTCATTTTGCAGCCATTTGCTATAAGCACCCCTAAATTCTTTCCTTCTGTGGTTCTGTCCAACACTGTACCCCCAATACTGCCAGAGGATTCTTTTTCCCCAAGTGGATGATCTTACGTTCAGAAACACTGAATTGCCGTCTCCACGTTTTTGACCAATTATCCAGCAGGGCCAAATTGTTTTCCATGTTACGAATACCCGAGGAACATCAACCCTACTACACACCTTTATGTCATCAGCAAAAAGACGACAAACCTCACCCAGCAGTCCTTCTCTTATACCCCTTGCAAACACCTGGGAGAGAAGAGGACAGGGAGGGGGGCTCACGATAGGCTGCTTGTGACTGGTCTCTGTTCACTGGGGTTTATCCCTGAGCCGGCTTCCCATCCGCTGAACCCACCCAGTGGTTAAACCCTCACCTGCACAACCTATTTAGGAGTTCATTAGATGGAACTGTATCGTGCAGCTGTCAGCATAAGCATAATGTAAAGGCTGGCAGATATCAACCTCTCAAGAGTGTATATATACTGTACGTCCGTGTGTAGAGGGAAGAGATCTGTATCATATCTGAGTTTATACACACACACACACACACACACACACACACATATCCCATTTCAAATTCTGCCATTTTTCTTGGAAGCCCTAACCCTTGCTTTGGATCAGTTTTTGTTCTTCCAACAATTTGTAAGTACAAATGGTGGCATAGTCTGGCCTTCATCAAGTTCTCTGTGTCTTTAGTTCATTCATGGGATCTGAATAGCTGCATAAGTAAAGGAGAGGCTAGCAGCAAAATTATTAGGCTTCATGTTCCATCCTTACATTATTCTTGTTTTATAGTGTCTCCTTTTCTGTTTTTGCCCACCTTTCTGTCCCTGTATCAGAAACGCCTGCAAAACCCCTTAGCTCGGCCGACTCCTTCCAGTATTCGCTGTTCAGTTATTTTATATTTTCCACCAGCTGGGACAGACAGGTGGCCCACCGATGCAAAGTTTGGAAGAGCCAGATCAGACCTCTCTTTTCTATCCTATAGAATTCTAAATTTTACTGTAAGGTTTTTTTCCCCCTACTCTGTATAATACATCTACTAACATTTATTACCATTCTTTTATTTATTTATTTTTCCTGGGATAGGGGTTGGTGCCATTTGAAGCATAGTCACAGTTCATCCTACCCAAGACAGCTTTTAAGTTTTTTCACCTCTTAATTTTTTCCCATAGTTTAACATAATTGTTTTGCTATATTTCTCGATTGTTCCCTGTCAGATACAATGCCAGATATGTCACTGATTGTGTTATCTGGCGGCCAGATACCTTCCACAGGAAATTTTCTTGGATAAAGTATCTCTATTTTTTCTTACTTTTTGAATATCATTCTCTTATCTCAAGAATTCTCCAAAACCTTTGATTATTTTCATCAGTTATCTCCTTGCATTCTGTACTCCATCACCTGCCTAACATTTAAGCTTGTATTTCCAGGCTATTGAGGCCCAGGGTAAGTCATCACCCTGAAGTCTTCTAGTTTTCCAGGGTGAAGAAAAACCCTGGAGAAGATTCAAAGCCTGGTTCAGAAATGCACTTTTTTAGCCTGTTCGTGTACTTGTAGACATTGCTCTCTGCTGGGGCGGGGGGGGGGAGGAGGGGGGGAAAATACCATGTTAAGAGGCTGAGGGAGGGTCAAGGCTGAGGGGACCCAGCGCCACAGAGGGGGGGGTGGTGGTCTCTGGCCTGCCTTGGCAGCCAAAGCTCCGGGAGTGATTTGGGGCCCGTCTCGCTCACTGCAGGGAGGAAAAAAGACGGAGGAGGAGGAGGAGGACAGGGTGCCCCTTCAAGCCCGGAGGTGCCAAAGGAAGCTGGCATCGGAACCCAGGGCCCCAGAGGGCGTGCCACACGCTGTCCTCTCGCTTTCCCTCCTAGGTTGCCCAGCATCCGCCTTGCTCGTCCCAGGTTTGTGATGACTGCAGAATGTGAGTCGCCAGTTGTCTTGCACCGGCGCTTTGTAGTTACGTACACACTCATCAATAACTTGCAGGACTTCCTGGCAGTACGCCTGGTCTGGACGCCAGAAAGTGCTGCTGCAGGTGAGCGGGGGTGGGGCGGAGGGGACAGGATGGCCACTGGCACGGTGGGATGGCCAGCTCCGCTCCAGGCAGACGGGATGAGCAGCAGCTCCTCTTCCACCCGTGGCTGATTTGCAGCTCCTGGTGGTGGTGGTGGGTGGGCAGGCCGGGAGCTGCATAGACCTCTTCCCCCCCCTCCCCCGGCATTGGTTGGGTCTGGGAGCACGCTGGGTCTTTGGCCTCCTCTTGACCACCCTTGCTCTCCCCCCCCCCTCCCGGCCCCCTAGGGAAGAAGCCAAATGTCTGCGATGAATGCCGTGCCACACCAGACCCTCAAGACTCCATTGTGTGCCAGACCCCCCTCAACAACCTGGGATTCTCCCGCAAGGGCAGCGCCCGCACCTTCTGTGTCACCTTCCAGGCTCTGCGTGCTGGCTTGTTTGAGGTAAGTGTCCGCACATGCTGCACAAAGACAAGCATGGATTAGTTGGCAACAAGCCAGGATCCTGCCAACTGCAGATGATTTAACTTGGTTTCATCTAGTTTCAGCACTGCATAGCAGAACACACAGACACACACACTAACCAAGACGACTATCCTCTCTTCTCCCCCCGCCCCGCAGCTGTCCCAGCACATGAAGCTGAAACTCCAGTTCACAGCCAGTGTGTCCAACCCCCCTCCGGAGGCCCGGCCGGTCTCCCGCAAAAGCAGCCCTGGGAGCCCAGCAGTGCGGGAGCTCGTGGGGCGTCATCAGGCCAGTCTCGGGCGCTCCCAGAGCTTCTCACACCAGCAGCCGGCACGGGGACACCTTCTGAGGTGGGTGCTGCAGAGGAAGCTGCTTGGGGGGACGGGGAGGGGGTGGCTGGAGAAGGGATGGTCTCTTGCTTCTCCCTGCCAATCTCTCTCTCCTCCCCTCTTAACAGGTCAGGAAGCGTCATGGAGCGCCGGGCCATAACTCCCCCTGTAGGCTCCCCAGTGGGCCGCCCTCTTTACTTGCCCCCGGACAAGGCTGCTCTTTCCCTTGACAAAATTGCCAAACGAGAGTGCAAGGTGCTGGTGCTAGCGCCCGTCACATGACAGAGGGGTCCCTGCCCCTCCCCAAAAAGGGCAGCGCTGGCTGCATTCAGCCTGCCCTTGGAGCCAACCCACAGCATGTACCACCCAGTCTCAGAACAGGATCTGCTCCAGACACCTGAACTTCACAGGACAACCCCCTCCTCGCCCAACCAGCCCCGTCTCCTCAGAGCGGACTCGCTCAGCTGCGCCCTTGCTGAGAGCCTTCCCTGGCTGTGGCCCAGTTCACCCTTCCAGGGACCCAGGCCCCTCTCGCCCGCCCACCCACCCTTCCCCATTTCCTTCAGCTGAGCAGCAAGGAGAGATTTTCACTCAAGAGGAAGGAAGGAGCAGCTACATCACACACACCCCCACCATTAAAAGGCAAAGCGACTCCAGCCCCAGCTGGTAGAAGGGTACTTTTAACTGCGGGACATTTCCAAATGGATCCTTTTGTTTTCGCCCTGGATTAGGCCAAGGGATGTGACCTGGAAGCTTCCCAGCATCTGCTGTATTCCTAGATGGGGGAGGGCCGGTCTCTAGCCCTCCCCCTACCTCATCATCCCAGGTCCAGGCCACTTTCCATTGCACTTTATTTAATTTTTGTTATTTATATTTTTTTATTTGCTCAGAAGCAACTCCAACTCTGTATGTATCTATGTGCTTACAAATAAACTGCACTGGCTGGCCGGCAAACAACACGCTTAGTAGATCTCTTTGGTGTCCTCTGGCACGGTCTTTCTTCTTCCACTTCTGATGAATTCATCTGATCTCGAGGCACGGTCAGATTTAACAGTCACCTCTGGATCCAGTTCCAGGCAGCCCAAAGCAGCCAGAAAGCATACTTGGTGGAAACTGGTTTGCTTTGCTCCTCTTTGGAACAGCAAACGGCATACAAAATGCCCAGCAGATGCTTTTCCACAGGCCGACTCCTGCCAAAGCAGCACTTTGCTGGGATGATCAGACAGCGAAATACTTTGGCATCTTTCAACAACACGCCAGGCGTCTGTGCAGGATTGGAGCCACAGCCCAAATAGGGACCAGGAAGAGGGAAGGGGTGGCCCGGGTTAGGAAGTGCGGCTGCGGGAATGATGATGAAACGGGGCAACGCAGCTGCCGAGGCGGAGAGGCAGGTGGTGGGAAGGCCCACTCGCGGGGGGGGGGCGGGGAGCGTTTGCCTTCCTCTCCTTCTGCTGCTGCTGCGGGGGGGGGGGGGGGAGGAAGCAGGAGGAGGGGACCGGTGAGCCCAGCCTGCCTCCACGTGACTCGGGGAGGGGGGGAGGGGGGATCGGGCCCCTCCGCAGGCAGGAAAGCACGAAGCGGCGGATTCGGCGCCGCGCCCTCGGCCCGCTCAGACGACCACGGGCTCCGGGACGCTGTTGAGCCGCTTCACCACGAAGAGCTTCTGGCCGGAGACGGTCGCCAGCAGGGAATGTTCCCCGAAGACCACTGCGGGAGGAGGAGGGGGGAGGGAGGAGGAGAGGCGCCGGTCAGCGGAGCCCCTCCCCCCCAGCAGCGCCCCCTCCCCCCCAGCGCCCCCTCCCCTCCCCCCTCGCTCACCGGAGACGCGGCGGAAGGGCAGCTCCGGGCCCCGCGGCAGCCGGAAGGCGCAGGCCGTGCTCACCAGCTCCGCCATCGCGCCCGCCGTGCGCTCGTCGTTCTCCAGGTCGCCGGCCGACTGCGGGGAGANGAGGCTCCTCACCGCCAGGACGGCGCCGTCGCTGATGACCAGGTAGCCGGTCTGGTCCGGGATGCGCTCCAGGCCCTGCGTGAGGGCCGCCGCCGCCGCCGCCGCCGCCGCCTGTCGGGAAAGAAGCAGCGCTCGGTCAGCGGAGCCCCTCCCCCTCGCCCCCCCTCCCCCTCCCCCCGCCGAGGCTCTCACCATGCCCGGCCGGAGCCGCGAACAGAGGCGGGCGGGAACCGAGCCAGGCGCGCTGAGCCCTGCGGAAACGGAAGAAGCCGACCTCTGGAGAGTCCGCACAGGCGCTTCCTTCCGGCGAGGGAGGTCTGGGCGGAAGAGGCCTCAGCCCGGGATTCGCGCGAGATCTGTCGGGCCACGGATAGCCCCGCCTCTGCGGGTGACGCCCACGCGAGACGCGGCGGGAGGGGAACGGCCCCTCCCCTCCCCTCCCCTCCCGCAGGCGCTGCGCCCCCGGGGGTCGAGCCGCCTCGGCTGGGCTCCCTTCGGCTTTCGCGCCTTCGCGGGGGAGGCCGCCTGGTCGTTCAGGCTGCAGAGGCCGTTAATGTCCAAGCGAGGCTGGTTCCTTCCGGGCCTGAGCGGCGACTCGTTGGAGCCTTCTCCGTTAGGGAAGGGCGGGGGGGGAGGTGCGAATATCCAGAGGGAGGGGGGAGGGGGGAGGGAGCCCCCCCCCATCTTGGGCGAGACCGGATCGAAGAGGCTCGGCGAAGAGCTCCGTTGGCCAGAGAGCCGGTGGGCCCCGCCGCCCTTGGCTTCCGGCACCCGGGAGGAGTTCGGCCTCTCCCGAAGCCCCCCCCCCCCCCCCCCCCCCCCCGAGAACCCTTCAGCCCAGATGCGGGCGAGAGAAACGAGACGGCTTAGCAACATCCAGGTTTATTAACAGAAAGCTCCGCTAAGAAAACGGGCGCCCCGCGGCTGCTAGAGGCCCCCGCTGCAGCCGCCCCGCCTGCGGCCGGAGACCACGGTGTTCAAGACGAGGATGCCGACGAGGATGCTCAGAGCCAGCAGCAGGGCGACGGCCAAGGCCGCGTGGATGGCGGTGGTCACCCCGAAGGCGAAGAGGAAGAGAGTCTGCTGGCAGAAGCCAGGCTGGCCAACGTCCTCGTAGTCGGGGGGGTAGATGGAATAGACCCACACGTTGCCTGTTGGGGGAAAGCGAGGAAAGTGGCCAGGAAGGGCTAGGGGCTCCTACCCTGATGCCCCTCGAAAGTCCGGCCGCTGCTTAGTCTGGGCTCAGAAACGGCTGTTCCTAAGGCGCTGCTGCCGTGGGCAGGGGAGGCTGTTCCTCCCTTCGGCCCCAGAAGCCGCATGAAAGGCGGCCCGAGCTCAGTTAAGAGCCTTCAGCCCAGCAAACCACCATGATGGCCATCTCGGCCGGTTAAAGGCTGCAGAGGCCATGCAACTCTGTGCTCCACCCTGGAAGGGAGAGAACTCCCGGCTGGCCCCTCCCCATCAGGAGCCCCCCCCCCCCCCACCTGCGATGAACCAGGCGCAGAGGAAGAGGAAGCCTGCTCCCTGCAAACAGTTGAGCAGCGTGCTTGGTCGGTTCGTGCCGTCCCCGCAGGGAATACAGCTGAGGAACAGGAGCAGGAGTGTGACGGCACTCAGGATGATCAAGTAAATGGGGAGGAGAGGCTGCCGGGGACACTGGCCGAGATAGACTGCTCCTGGGGAGGGAGGAGCAAAGATTAGCCTCTTAGATTCTTGGACCTTCTTTCAGCATGACGTACCCAGAATGCGGATCCCTCCCACTGGGCCCTGCCTGTGTCAAGAGGAGCCCACGTGGGTTAAGCTGAAGATGAAGACCCTTTCCTGAAATTTGGGACTCTCAAACTGGCTGTGGCTCTAATCGGTATCTGCACCCCAACCCAGGGAGACGTGCAGACTGCAGGTATGGGTGGGAGGAAAAGCCCAGCCCAGTCTCCATTGCCCCATTCCAAGGCAGCCCAGTCCCACAGCCCAACAGCAAGGATGGCCTGCAAAGCTGCCTTGGTGCCTGAGCCCCCAGCCAGGAGCAACGGGCCTGGGAGGGAGGGAGGGGACGGAGGGGCCTGCAGCCGAGGCAGATGCCCGAGTGGCCCAACGGGCTCCTCAGGGCCATGCCTGGCACGGGTGTCTTGGGAAGGGCAGCCCCGTTGGCCCTTTTGAGCACCACACCTTGCAGGCCGGATTCACCGAGCGCCTCCAGGCGCAATGCCGGCGGTGCTTTGTAAGGCAGGCAGGCAGGCCTTGGGCTGTTACAGTTTTCTCAGCAAACGAGGACTGATAGCTTCTCAGGCTGTACACAGCAGGCTATCCAGCCGCCTTGGGGAGCTCTGCTCCTCCAAAGAGCCCCTGCAGGAGCTGACGACTTCAGGGCGGGCCCGGCAAAGGACTCGGAGGCACCACCGGAGCAGGGGCGGCAGGCGGGCCGAAGGGGCTGTGGGGAGGCAGGGACGGGACGGGGTGAGGATTCCACTCACCGATGGCGATTCCTGCCAGAGGCAGCGCAGCAAAGAGGACTTTCCCTAGGACTGGAGGAGGGAGAGGGAGGGGTTAGGCCACTCTAGAGATGGGGGGGAGTACCAGCAAAGCCAAGGTGTGTGTGGGGGAAGAGCAGCCTACCCATCAGGAGGGAGTGCGCGGAGGAGGAGGAAGGCTCTTCGGTGGCCCTCAGGAGAGGCCTCTCGGGCTGGGATTCCTCAGCCATGGCAGCTGCTGGTGAAGCCAAGGGGAGAACTGAAGGCGCCGACTGCCCTTCCACGCCCGCCCCACAACTTCTTAAGTAGCCCCTGTCTCTGGCCTCCTGACCCAGGTGTGGCCCACCCTCGGCAATTACAATGGAGGGGGGAGGGTGTGCAAAGTTGGGCTCCTCCCTCCTTTAGGCTTGTGCTCTCTCTCTCTCTCTCTCTCTCTCTGTGTGTGTGTGTGTGTGTGTGTGTGTGTGTGTGTGTGTGTGTGTGTGTGAAGCAATGAACTGCTTGGGTGGGAGGGCCCTCTCTTCCCTCACTTGCCTCTCAGCTGGTGGGAGGGCTACAGGCCAGGCTCCCAAACAACCAACCAGGATGAAACAACCAGGGCAAAACGGAATAATGCTTGGAAAGTAGGAAACTGAGCTGGGGACCTGCTTTGCTTGATCTATAGCTCTCAGGGGACCGGCAGGAAATTAATCAGATTGTCCTTCACCCTCCTAAGGCTCACAGGGCGCTTCCCTCAAATGAAAAGGGCACAGAAGCCAGCTGTGGGTTGGGGTAAGCCTCCCACTGGGCCCGCCCTGGGCAACTTGCTCAGTTGCTGACCGGGCTCAGCCTGAGGGCCTGGGTTGAGCTTGCCCCAGTGCCAAGCAGGAGTGGGATGGGCGAGCACCACGAAACGCGGGTGGTCTGCCATTGGCAGCAGACCCCCATACTGCTTGGTCCCCAAGATCAGGACCAGGGCATCTGAGAACCCCACCTGCTGGCTCCGGCCTGACCCATCTCCAGCCTGCACAGCCCTCGGGAGTTGCTGGAGGCCCGGGGGGGAGGGGCAGGCCCTTTGCAGCACCCCTGCCAGGCCGTAAAATGTGTCCTCTGGGGGGGAAGGGTTACTTTGCCCCCCTCCCTCTGCTATTAGGAATTAGAGTATTTATAGATATACTTCCTTTCCCAGGCATTTAATTATCACGTTGATGTTTTATCTCATAAACTTTACAGTTAGCTTTTCCCACTGTTTGGGTTCTTTTGTTACCAGAGCCAGGCCTCCCACCGCGATTGGCCCAAGCTGATCTGACCCAGCAAAAACGTTGGGATAACAGTGGGGCCAGGAGAGTCCTCCGCACAGGGATGCCTTCAGCCCCCCCCCCCCATCCCAGAGGCATTGCCGTTCTTCCTGCCCTTCCCAACTCTTATCTTGCAGGTGGATGCACTTGGTGAGGCTTGGGCTGCCCCAGCTGAGCAAGGTGCCTGGCCAATCCCAGAGGCAGCAGAGGCCAGGCCAGGTGCCTGTGTGCTCAAGGCAGGGACGTCCCCTCTGTTGCTCAGCCATGGTCGGTAAAAGAGGCAAAGGGGTAGGGGAGATTAGGGGGTGGCTGTGCTGGACCCGAGGCTCTCCCTGCCCCTCCCCTTTTCCCAAGCCAGCACAAACCTCAGTGCAGGGAGCAGAGCACAGCCCAAATGGGAGCCAGGGGACGCAGGGTGCCCTGCGTTGTTTACCTGAAGCAGTTGGGGCTCACTCAGCGGGGAACAGAAATGGACAGGCAGCTGTTCTGACGCCACCTCACTCTTCCTTTCCAGCCCGCAAGGAGCAGCTGACTCCCCACTTCCTCCTGCTGCGGTTGCCCCTCCAGCCCCACCCTGCTTGACTGTACCAAGGCCGGAGTTGCTGAGGAGACGACCCCCCTCACTTGCCAGATCTTTCCCCAGCCAGGACCCTTCACGAGGTCCCAGGAAGACAGACGGCTTTGTGGCACATAACTTAAGCTGAGGTTATGTGAGGCACACAATACAAGTCACCCGGCTAGTGGACTACACTCAAACCTCAAACTCAGTTTAGCAATAGACCAAACATTTGCCAGCCGAGTGCAAGGCAGCTTTTCTGCATGCTTCTGGTTCCTGGGAGGGGAGGAAGGGGGTGCCCGAAGATCAGGTGGGCAGAATACTGTGAAACGGCAGGAACGATTAGTCACCCCTCCCCCACCCAACAGCCCTTCCTTCCCAGGCAAGCGCAGTCCAGGGAGATTTAATGGGCACTTGATGGAAAACAGGGTTACGGTTTATGCTGGGTTGCACAGCACGGTGATCCAGCCACTCATTTGGCCCCAGCAGCTGCAGGACGATTGCTTTCCGTGAAGTGTGCCATAACACCAGGGGTTCACTTGCACCTTCTGTCCGGCGCTGTCCTCCAAGGCCTGGTGGGGTTTCATTTTGGCTCTGTGCCCATCCTTCCTGCAGCGGCCTTCTGGACATGCTCAAAAGTACTGTCAGCAGGTTCAGCTACCGTGAAACCAAGGAGAGCTTTAAGCTCTGTTGTCAGAACTGCCACCTCCCTGTCAGCCTGCTATGAACCATGGGAGGGATGTTAACTGGCAAAAATCTGGCGTGAACTCTTAGTTCTGGCTTTACACCAGTGCAATTCATTTGACTTCTGGTGAACTGTACCTTTCTCAGCAAATGGATTCAAGGATCATTTTCACTTAGAAGCTGAAACTGAGGCAGGTGCGACATCTGCTC